CAAGCCACTGTCTACGACGCTTAACATTTCGATAAAAGATCCATTTTTTTGTCGCCAGTCACAAGTCTATCCAAAAAAGGTGAAACAAGTTGGCGAGAATGAAGAGAAGAGCAGATATCAACTTGTGATTTGAGGTTGTTTTCAGACAATTCATGAAGCACCCATTTTCCAAGTGTAGGAACTTTTCCAAGTTGTTAAAGATGACGATGAACAGTTGTATGGTTTGAACTGAGAACCACTGCCAATTCCTCAACTGATAAAGCGGGATTTTCTTCAAGAGCTGCTTCAAGAAGCTTTTCATCAAACTCAACTGGATGTCCGGTTCGGTCTTCATCTTCAAGGGTGAAATCTCCACCTCTGAATTTTGCAAACCATCTTCTGCAAGTTCTTTCATTCACACATTCCTCTCCATAAACTGAGTGAATGTTTCTAGCCGCTTCAGCTGCTGAGTTTTCTTTCTTGAAATCATAAAGCATTATGTGCCTTAAATGATTCTTGGGTACTTCCATGTTAGCATGTCAAACAAAATTCAATTTTATTGTTCTCTGAAATAAAATTTGATCAGTTTAAATGCATCTAAGCATAAAAATAATGTTCAGCTCCATTAGACATTATAAAATACTTTTTAAATTTTGTTCATTTTAACAAAAAGTTAAAATTCGGACAGAACTTATGGGATGACCTAATATTTGTGTGTACTATGGATTGGTAAGGTTAGGGTGAGATTTACCAAGAAAATTTCAGTTGGTGTATTTTTCTGTCAATCTATGTGTTGATTTTGGTGCTCAATTTGTTGAAACCAATTCAGATGGATGTTCTGTCCACCCATCATATTAGTTTTGTAGTTTATTAATTTAGATGCCATTGTGATACTATTTAGGCAGAAGGGGTCAAAGGTTGGAAGCATAGATCAATCAACACATACCAGCCAATATTCACAAGGAAAACATTTACATTTACCTGTAAACTACACAAATAATTCTGCTATCCAACATCATCAAAATTAATTTTGCCTTAATTAAAAGTGCTTTATTGTTTTATTTTCTCCTTGTTTATTTACTTTTTAACTTAGGTACATTTTAGATTGTCACCATTTTTGATCACCTGTTTAGCCCATACGAATCATCTTAACGTGTACAATAAACCACAGGGTCAAAATACTTGTTTCCTACTTTCTTATACTTTTAAATCTACCTCCAATGATAACATTTCAGTATGTAACTTTCTAACCTTTTTCTCTCTGCATTTGTCTTATTTAATATTACATTATTATTTGAACATTTCTTTAGGGTAGCCACCCTTTTATACATTTTTCTGTTGTATTTCTCCACGTTGAATCCCTTTCACCATGTGGTGACGGTTCTCACTCTGTGTCATACTGTAACTTTAAACTTATTGTATGCTGTAAACCATATTCTTGTAAGTAGTTGCTACCTCCTTTGCCCATTTAAACTCACAGTCTCACTGTTACGTTCAGCCTTTGGCTCCTTTTGTCTTTACCTATGAAAATAGAAAGTGTAAATTTCACTCAGTTTCTGCTGTTTACTTTTCCATTAAGTTTTTTTCATTTAATAGTGAAATTTAATTTTCTTGGGAGCATTAATAATTTCTTTTACAAAAATATATTGCAGTTAATTTTTTTTTACTATGAAAATGTATTGCTGGTATTTTACTATAAAATATTTTAAACTTTCATAATGTTTTGACTCCCGTTTGGGGGTTAACTATTTGGCTGGGACCCTAAAAGATGCTACCATCCCAGGTCAGGATGAACCTGGGGACAACAGCAAGAAGTGGTTCCACACTTCTCAAAATCTCTAACTTCTTGATCAGAAGCCTTGCTGCTAGATGTAGTTTATTGTCATACCCAGGACTCAGGACTGTCTTCAGAGTTTTTATTACTTTAAAGAAATTATCTGGTTGTCTGAGGTATACATGCACACACACAAATGTGTGTTGGGAGGTGATACAATAACATTCATGGAGATCATGCCAGCACAAATACTAATTCATTTTAAAATGAAATTAGCATTGATGCCAGTTTTATGGTGTAAAGAGTGAAAGCAGTTTTGAAAATGCTAGTCCTTAGGGCCACTGTTTGACATGAGTGTGAATTTTTAAAACTTTTGTGTCAGTAAAGAGTTGTCATATGCTACAAAAATTAAAAAAAAGTCTTCTAGTTGTGATATTGGTTTAAATTCTCTTCAATTCCTCCTCATTTTTCCTCTTTTTTTTGTAATCGTAATCAGTATTTGATAAATGATAATCAGTTTGACTATTATTTCTTTCATCTTAATTTCAGTTGCTTTTTATCAAAACCACCCAGACTTCTACAGCTGTCACTAAGCAGCTTTGTTTTAAAAAACATTTCAATGTTTAATTCACATCATTAGAACAAAGTAATTGAAAGATTTTAACTTTGATTTCTAAACTTTTGTACTTGCAGATTTCTGGATTGTTTATGGAAAATGTGATGCTGATGCTAATGCTGGCTATTGCCAAAATGGAGGTCAAATGTCACTTCAGCCAACGAAATGAGTCACTTTAGCTCTTGTTCAATTGAATTTGAAAATATAAGCAATTTGCAGAAACATCCCTTGAAAATTGACTGCATTGGTTTTCAACAATGTAAGGAAATATTAGACAGAAAAATTTCCAATACACAAAGAATAAGAACTTTGTATATTACTTTCTGAATATGGAAACTGTTGAAAAAATGATCTCTTCTGGAACAAGAAGCTCAAATTCTCAAAATTGCTGTCCTAATAGTAAAGCTGGGAAAAAGTCTTTTACATGTAAAGTGTGTAACAGAGAACTTTTGACCAAGCATGGGCTAACTCAACATACTAGAATACACACTGGGGAGAAACCATTCCACTGTGAGGTTTGTGGGTCAAAATTTACAGCTAGTTCAAGTTTGACAACACACATGAGAACACATACTGGAGACAAACCATTCCGATGTGAAATTTGTGGATCCAAATTTTCTGAAAAAACGAATTTGAGAAAACATTTGCGAACACACACTGGAGAAAAACCATTTCGCTGTGATATTTGTGGTGCAAGGTTTGCAGTAAAAGTAAATTTAGAAAATCATGTGCGGATCCACACTGGAGAAAGACCATTTCATTGTGACAGCTGTGACTCAAAATTTTCTCTCAGCTCCACACTGAGAAAACACAAGAAATTACATACTGGGGAAAAACCCTTTCATTGTCAGATTTGCGGGTCAACATTTTCACGAAGTGACCATCTGAAAAGTCACATGCAAACACACACTGGAGAAAGGCCTTTCCGGTGTGATATTTGCAGGTCAAGCTTTTCTCAAAATTCAACTTTAATGAAGCACATGCAAAAACACAGAGAAAAACCTTTACAGGAAGATTGTAAAGAGATATGAGCATACAGACTTCAAAAATCATTTTACTAGAGCTAGGCACTTCAAATTTCTCGTATGATTCTTATTTGAAAAAACACATGGAAACATTCTCAGGAAAGATCACATTGTTCTGGGTTTGAATTTTTATATTTGTCAAATTTGAAAAAATCATCTGCAAATCCCAAACTGTCATAGTACCGTTATTAATGTAACAGTGTAAAATATAGGTACTAATTATTAGTACTGATATTAATGCAACAAATTTTCAGCAAAGTTTAATAAATTTACCTGTCTAACCCATCAAACCTTCTTTTCATGTACATGCCTCCTAGACCCCATTGGTCTAGTGTCACTTCCTGTCAATGTGAAGCTGCTCAGTTCAGACACCACTTGTTCTGATATCTCAATCCTTGAATGGTTATTTGATAAGGAGAGTTATACAGCTTCTAAAATGGTTTAGGGACTGGTGCCAGTATAAGTTGTTGATCGTCCAGTCTTAGTTTTTCAAGTGTTGTGATTCTTACTGATAAAGAAAGTTGTCTTTCTTCTTTTAGTCAATAAGCCATAGTAAACTTCTTGTTGATGACTGGGCTGAAAGCTTTCACTGAAGAAATAAAAATGCCAGTTTTGGTTAAATATAGACGATTTAATGGAAGTGAATAAAATAATTTACAATCAGATATATTTGGCATCTATTAACACACAAAGATTGAAAGGCGGTGACTTGGAATCTTGACCTTATGTGCTCAGCAAGGTTCAATCGAAAATTCAAGTGAATATTGGGTCCATTCCTCATGCACGTGTGCAACTGTGCATGTATCTGATGACATGTATGTCTCTCTGATGTCCTAGCCCATCTCTGTATCCTCAAAATCAGGCTGAATTTATACATAATTCTCCACCCATATATCACTGTTCACATGACAAAATAACTCAGTTTTCCATTGTTTAAAGTCAGGTTTAAAACACCAAATCATATGTTTTGATTTTGCCCCATTTCATTCAGTGTTATTGCTCAAAAATCCAAATCTTATTCAGCCATCAGGAATGGAATCAAAAACATGTTCTCACCTGTCCAATTCAAAGTCACACCTGGCCTCTTGACAAATATTCTGGCCTGGGAAAATTAATAAGGACTAGAATAACACACACCAATCCATTCCAAATCATTGCCTTGGAATTTAAAAGCTACAATATCTGCTAATAACAAGTTACCTTGTTATACCTGCAAGGAAACAGCATGTTTTCTCTTGACACTACTATTACTGGAAACTCCCTTGGCCATTTTTATTGTTTTTTTTTTGTTTTTTTGTTTTTTTTAGAATTTTAATAAAACTCAAATATATGAATCTGGATTTTTGCATTTTTTTTCTTGAGAACTGACAGCAAAAATGTTAAACATTATTTATAATTTTTCTTTATCATTATTTCTTTAAATTATGTTAAATAATACTGCATTGTAGTTGGTTAACACTTTATAATCTAGTAAGTATAGAATTATTATTGCAATTAAACAATCTAATTAAGATTTTAGTTTAACATTTGTGTTGTCAATTTATGAGAAGAAAGAAAAATGTATAAATCCTTTCTGATTTGCGTTTTTATTCTAAAAATAGCTGGCTTGTGACCACAGCATGTTGAAACACTAGTTCTTGTATGATCACAGAGGTTAAGCAATGTTGAGCTGGGTCGGTACTTAGATGGGTGACTGTTTGGGAATACCAGGTGCTGAAACTTGGATATGCAGGTGGTGTAATGACTCGGAATTGTCAATTAGAGAGCAGAGTTTCAATTCCAGTTGGGTTCATTTTATTCACTTATTGAAGAAAGGCATGAATCCACCTTTTCTTCCTCCAGCCAGTAAGACTTGCATCACTAAATTATTATTATCTTCCCACACACAAAAAAAAAAAAAAATAATTCTTACAATCTAAGAATATTTTCTGGCTTTAAATATTTTGCAAAGGGTTGATAAGCCATGAAAATGAATCAACAACAATAGCTTTTTTAAAACAATAAAAATCGCCAAATGAATAACAGTAGCAGTCTTAAGAAAAAAAAGCCCTCCTTTTGACACAAGTTTTTTTTTCTATGTTTGTTAAACTTTGTCAAATTTTCTTTATATCTTAAAAACCAAATGACTACCAGTACTGATAAAAAGTCACAGTTTTGCTACATTTTGTGACTAAAACTGTTAAAATAATTTGATTTTAAGTGTCTTCTTAGGCATAATACATAATAGATCTTTGTATTTTACAAATCCTAAATTTAATATTTGACATAGGAACCCATGCACACACACTTTCAATTTCAGATTTAACTACAATATATGAGTAAAAGGACACTGAATAATAACAAAAGGAAAATTTTTCTTAGTTGATACATTTTATTCTCTGATGGACTTCATCAACGTAAATGTGAAGATTTTATTTTACAACAAGTATTGATAAACAAACAATATCTTTTAGTTTTGTTTATAAAAACTTGTTGCAAAATAAAATTTTTATATGTGCCTTGATAAAGTCCATCAGAGAACGAAACATATCAGCTAAGATAATTTTTCCTTTTGTCTTTTTTATATATATATATATATATATATATATATATATATATATATATGTATAAAAATGTGTGTGCTTCATATTTGAAGTGTCTTGAATTTTCTAGAAAATTTAAACCTGAAAACTTCCAAATATATCCTGGAAAAAAAACTTTTCACTCACATTCACAACTTAAAATTTTATCTAATTTCAAATTTAACCCTATTCCAGGCAGGTTATTTTGGGGCTGTGAACGGCAGGAAGACAACTTTTTTTGACTGCCAACTTTAAAATACAATAGAATTCCAAATAATGACTTAATTTGTTTGAAACTTTTCAGGATAATTCATTTACCTTTTCTTTTATATTTGACATTGTCATTGCATCTGGGACTAGTGACTTTTGATGATGTCATAATTTGTATATAATTTTCAGCCCAAATTTTGTATTTTCCTGGATTTTTTCATTAATGGTTTTCTCAGTGAAATTTTATTTATAAAGGAATGTTTTGGGAACAGGTAAATAAAAAAATTTTTTTAAAAATTCATATTTTTTAGTATCTGTCTATATTTCTAAGATGAGGTATTATGTACACCATTTACATTAGTCAGACTATTGACCTCATCTTTGTCGCCATATTTATTACAACGTTTCGGCCATTGTATGCTCTGGCTTTCTTCAGGTAGTTGGAATGTTGAACTGAACCCTTTATTTCGCTCACTGGGGTAGACTGTTCTAGTTCCACGTGCCATGTTTTTAAAGGATGTCAATTGTCAGTTATCACTTGTTAATTCACCTCTCCAAGTTCTCCACTGCCTTAACAGGGTATTGAACTCACACTCCTTGTGTCCTGTCACTGGATCTAACTAACGCCTTTATCCACTGTGCCATATGTCCTTGACACAGTGGATAAAGGTGTTAGTTCAAAATAAAGGGTTCAGTTTGACATTCCAACTGAAGAAGGCTGGAGCATACAATGGCTGAAACATAATAAATGTGGTGACAAAGATGAGGACAATTTCTTTTCTAATTTTTGCTGACATCAGCATAATTAACATATTTGCTAAATTCAAATATTTTTTTTTGCCATATATTTAATGCTATGATTTTATTTCTAGTTTTTTGTCATTTTTTTCCTTCTGAAGAACTTTTCATAGTTTGTCTTCAAGCAAGGCAATATAGCCGCTAAGAGACAAGAGGTTACTGAGTGTGAAAGAATATGAGAACAAGAAAAACATTATCAAGGAGAGAGAACAATAAAAGAAAAGGAATTAAGAAGACAGAAGATAATGATTGACATTTCATTTAAATTTTAATAGTTTCTCTCCAACCAAGGTAATAAAGCCACTGAGATGCAAGGGTGTTACTGAGTGTGAAAGAATATTGGAAAAAAAAAACATTAGTAAGGAGAGAGAACAAGGAAAGAACAGGAATTAAGAAGACAGATGACAATTGATGTTGCATTTAAGTTTTGAAGATCGAAGTTGTCTGGAAAGCAAGAAGCTGGAAGAGAGTTCCATTCCACAAGTGAGAAGTGTGAGAGAAGAAACTGTTATCATAGAATTTACATCTAGCCATTTCAATTATAAAATTAGACCTAGCTGCCAATCTAGTACTGCACTTCATAAAGTTGAGGTACCAAAGATGAAAGTTCATCAGAACAATTACCATGAAAATATTTATAAGAAAGGTACAGGGAAGCTATATTACAGTGATGGAAAAGTGACTGAAGGTGAGATGCCAGGTCAGAACCAATAGCATTGCAGATTCTTCTTTGGATTTTATCAAAAATCTCTAAATACATAGAAGCACCAGACCAGATGTGGCAGCACTATTCATTGCAGTGATGATTGGTAGACTTATATGTAAGATAAATGACACAGTGAACCAACTTTCCTAGTAGCTGGCCTAGCAATTGACCCAATACAATCTTTGTACTTCATGTCTACGGAAAATGTTAGTCTGAGAAAACAGTGAGTCACTGTCATGGAGGTTAGCATCAGCCATTGGGATAGAAGGTAAAAAGGGTTCTCTCAGATGATTAAGAGAGCAGTTTCATTTTAGAGGTATTAAAATTAACAAGTTATTTCTTGCCCCAGTTAACAACTGATTGTAGGTCATTTTTTAGATCGGCTGCTAATATGACCTTATCAAACTGATCAGACTTACTGATAGTAAATAATTGTGTCATATGCATAGATACTGAGATAGGAACTGATGGCATCTGGAAGGTCACTTATGAAAATTAGGAACAACACCGGTCCGAAGAAAGAGCTTGGGTGACACCTGGATTAATGCAAAAATACCTAGAAGTGTGGCTGTTCAAGACAACTTTCATTTCATGATTTGATAAAGATTGAATCAGTACAAAACTTTGTTCACAAATTCCATGATTTTCCAACTTGTGAAGAAGATCCAGTATGCCAAATCTTGTCAACTTCCTTTGAGATATCCAAAGCAGCAACAGCAGCATGTGTTTCACCATTCTTATCTAATGCAGGATAGATTCTTTTAGCAATAATTATTAATATATTAACAGTTGAGCTAGAGAAGTGAAAACCATATTGCCTATCTGGAAGAAGACCCTGCAATGTGAGATGCTTAACCAACACAATGTTTATTAGAGAGACAGAGAAAGAAAAGAGGTAGAAGGCTAATAGGCTGATGAAAGAATCATATGGCTGGCCTGAGTTCTTAAAGACTGGAACTGCTGACAAGGATTTCCAACAAACAGGAAAGCATGAAGAAGCAAAACATTAGATGGTTCGCCTGTGTTCTTAAAGACTGGAAATACAGAAGAGGATTTCCAACAAACAGGAATGCAAGAACCCACCCTGCCACATACATGGAGTTGAATCATCTTCATTCTATTCGTATTCAGTTAGTAAGAAAGATGTTCTATTTGATCGAGCTTTGTAGCAAAGTGGGAGAAAAACTGGCAGCTCATATTCAATACTTCAAAAACCAAACTTGACGTTCCAATCATTGCCAATCAAACACAACTTTCACCAATCGCAATGAAGAGATGTTCCCTGAGGGAGGCTCCATGCCTCAAGCAGCTAATGGGACTTAAACTCAATCCAGAGCTCAAGTGAAACTCATACAATCCATAACTAAATATGCTCTAAACACCTGACTCCTCCTGCAATCCTCTACCATTACAAGAGCCAAATCAGACTGAGAAAGGAGTACTGCTGCCATATATGAGTGGGAGGTGACAAGTCTTTGCTTTTTAGTCTCCATAGAGACTAAAAGTGTCCCTGTGTCCTTTTCGGTGGCAAATTATTTCTCACCATACAAACCCTTTCTCACAGACGAAACTATTCTGGTAACATAGGTACTCAGACTAAGAATGATCTTGAATAAAAAAGCAACATCTACTAAATATTTCAAAAAGTAAAACTCCAAATAAATCTTTCCAAAACAGAAACTATAATCTGGAATTGGACTGAAAGCATGGATGGAACTGTTACCCTGGATCCATCATAAAAATTCAGGATGGATCAGTTATAATAAATTTAGTATAGGAGATCAGGAAATTGTACATAGAATGAGCTGTGTCAGAGGTAGTTTCCCACAACACCATAAATTGCTACAAAACCAAAGCATCAACCTAAAAACTCGTCATGTTCTCAAATAACCTCATTAGATTGAGCCTTTCATCTGGATGTCATGCAGGGCACAAAACCTGTTCAGAAATATCTAAACTGTCAGCTATAGGCAACCTGCTTTCAATAGCCAAAAATGGTTTGGAGCATGTGAAATCTGTAGATCTTGGCGAAGACCATCCTTCTTTGAACATTGAGAACTGGCAATAGGGAATGACAAGGAACTGTACCAGATAACAGAAGCAACAACACTTGAGGACTTTCAACAGCAGCAACAACAAAAATGGATAGCACATGTAACTCAAAGAGAAAATAATGACATAATCAAGATACTGACATTCCCTACTACTTCAAATAAAATCCCTACACACAAGCCATCAATTTGCCACTGGTGGCCAGCTGTCATACCACTGACGTGTTCGTCCTGGCAATGTTACCACTGGCGGACCACTAGAGGCCCACCGGTGACATGCTGGTGGCTGCCACTGGTGTTGCCATTGATGGCTTGCATGTAGGAAAAGTGTGGAAGGAAATTCTCATCAATACTAGAAAGAGCCATAATATCTATGGGAGTCGAGAAGCCTA